AAATTGTCCTCAGGTGCTGCACTACGTGGTGCCGCGGGGCCGCCTGTTCCGCGGCTGCAGCGCGCTCAACGCCTGCCGCGAGCTGCTCCCGCCGGACCGCGCCGGGCTGGGCAAGCCGCTGGGCCTCGCCTTCGAGATGGTGAGCGGCCTCCCTAATCACCGCCTTCCTCACGCCCCTCACAACCGTTACAATCCTGGTGCGTCCGAGTAGCTGCAGGGCTACGTCGTCATCATCGACGACCTGGTCGACGTCGCCGAGCTGAGGAGGGGGCTGCCCGCCTGGCACACGCTGCCCGGCGTCGGCCTGCACGCCGTCAACGACGCTTTCCTAGTTCACACGGCGATGAACAAGGTTCTGCACCGCTACTTCCGCACAGAGCCGAGCTACGTCCGCCTGTTCGAACTCTTCAACGAGGTGAGTGCGGTAGGTGCGAGGGTCGGAACCCCGGGCCCGGGTACGCGACATTGCATTGCAGTTACACAGAGTGCACCACAATCTGGGCACTTCGCAGGCGATCTTCTATGGTATCATAGCCCAGAACTACGAGTGCCACAACGGCTGCACCGGCGAGGGGAGGTTCGACGCCTTCGACCACGCGATGCACGCGGCGCAGGCTCGCTTCAAGATCTCGCACTACAGCTTCTACAGCCCGCTGGCCGCGGCCATGCACCTGGCCGGCCTCTCGGACAGCGGGCGCCAGGGGGTGCTCTGGGGGGTGGCCCAGGACATCGGGATGCTCTTCACCGTGCAGGTGAGCTTGGGCGCGCGAAGGTTGTCGACAGCCACCGACCTCTACTCACATACATTCTCCCGTCCAGGACGACTACAGCGACTGCTACGAGCCCGAGTCGCTGTCGGGGAAGACCCGGTGCGACATCCGCAACGGCAAATGCACCTGGCTGGTGGTGGAGGCCAAACGGCGTGCCAACGACAAGCAGCGTGCCCTGCTTAAGGTGAGCGGGAGCGCCTGGGGGGCAGGCCGCCGGAGGGGTCGCGCACACGGGTGCCGAGCGGTACGGCCTACCATCGCAGGCGCCCACCTCAGAGGGGCTCTCTTAATCCCGCGACGAAACCCCGACAGGAGAACTACGGTGTCGACGACGCCGAGAAGGTGGCGGCCGTGATGGAGCTGTACGCGGAGCTGGGCATGGAGGAGGCCATCCAGGACTGGATGCGCAGTGAGTACTCCAGGATCAGCGAGGTCATCCGGAGGCAGCGCGACCTGCCGCCCGAGGCGCTGCTCTACATCCTGGACGCCATCCGGCAGCCGCTGCTGCGGGTGGAGGAACCGTTACCGTAACGCAACAGGAAATACACTGTCCGACTGTGGTAGCATTATTATTGCATTATTTCTTTTAAATGTTTTGCAACCTTGAATAAAGTTTTTGTCAGATTTTGTTCCACGAAGCTGAGATATTCGTAGTACTCGGGCTCACCGTGACCATACGAAGGCCCATGTCGGGTGCCGTTGTGACGTGTCCATGCGGTGGCGTGCCGTGCATGGCCGGCGTGAGGGCATCAAACGTGCAAAGAAAGTGTACAACGGGTGTCTACAAACAAGGTCGCGTCCGAGCGGCCCGCACGTTTTGTTTTCGGGGTGCACGTCAGCCGGCGACGCCATTCTCGCGAACGCGGCCCGCGGCCGTCACGCCCGCGCCCCGCCATGGCGGTGCACCGTCACGGCGGCGTCCGCCTTCTTAAGGGCGCCGAGGACGGCGGAGGGCACAACGACTCCACCCGGTCTAGCAACATGTCCCGCCTTGCAGTCTTCGCTCTCCTCGCCGCTGTCGCCGCGGTAAGGGGTCGTGCACTTTCTACGCTCCCAAGAGGACCAGGACGGTTGTTTGGAGTCCATAGGGACCCCATGATATATTCACTCTGGGGTACCCACGGGACCCCGTAGTATTTTTACCCTAGGGTAAAAATGTCACGGGGTTCCTATGGACTCTCAAAACCGTCCTGATCCTTTTGCGACCTCATGATTTTTTGTTCCTCTCCCGTAAAGTCATGTGGTATGTTTGTGCTACCCCCAACCGCGTCCTTGTTGTGCCCACAGTGCGCCGTCGCTGGCCCACCACCGCGTCCCCAAGGCCACGGACCCCACGGCCCCCCAGCACACCACGGCCTGCGCGCCTGGCTGCACGCCAAGGAGGCCCAGCTCCACCAGTGGGGCCACGCCGAGAAGGCCAAGCTGAAGGTATGAGACGCGCCAGGTCCGGGCGGAGGGTCAGAACAAACGCCAGTCATGTGGCATTTAATTCTCTCTCCGCGACAGAACGCCTGGAGGCAGAAGGTCGTCCCCCACATCGTCCAGCTGGAGAGGAAGCTTGGCGCCGAGTGGCAGAAGAAGGCCCCCCAGGTCGCCGCTCTCCTAAAGCAGAAGGCCGGCGCCGCCTTCGACAAGGCCGTCAAATTCGTCTCCCAGCAGGTCAATAAGAAGCTCCAGGGTTGAGGTTGAGAGAGCACCCCAAGCAAGCACGACCACGAAAATATATAAAGACTACTAACCATATTCAACAGACACATTATTAACTGTAGTCATTCAGCAATCGGCTTTTATTACCACGACATTTAAAGTCACGCATGCATGTGCACATGAACAACAAATGACGTGGACTCCTTAGAAAATGCAGTCAGGTGGAACAGTGGAACACCAAGAAAACAGACAGAAAACACGGTCTCATCAAAATGATGTCAAGTAATGTCAGTATCCAAATTTGGTCATTTTGGCGGTCTGATTGGATATCAGTTTGACTTTAAGCGATGTCGTAAGATTGTAATTTATAATTGCAATCACCGAGATATTCAGCCAGCACATACAAGGAATACAATATAGTTCCGTTAGCTCCTCGCATAATATTTTCGGTCTACGCATGGGATTCCTTTACTCCAGGAGACACGAGATGTGCTAAAGCGTGTTCCAGTTTCAGACATGTCTGCCCTCTTGTTATGGATAGCATTGCAATGCGCAATTGGAGCTTTTTGGACAGTAATTTCAGAAAAAAAAATCGGGAAAGGTTGTGGATAGAAAACGGTCTGAAGGTGCGATTGTGGCGCTCAAGAAAGTGGTAGTCCATCCATCGGCAAGGGTT